TGAAAGAGGTACAGGCCTTTCCATTTCATTGACTGGGAAACTAAGTCAAAAGACATCAGCAGCCTGGCTCTGCTGCCATGGAAGTTGATAGCAAAAATCCCTTTTACAGTCACAGAAAATGAATTCTCTGTTGAGAATTGATACATCTCAACAGAAATGCCAAATCTGTTGGCTCCTAAGCTTTTACAATTAAACCCATCTTTTGTTTTGCTCCATGTTAGGCACCAGGGGTCTGTCATGATCAGTACTTTCTCTCTGCTGCACATCTGTGATGCTTCAGAAGAAAGTGTCTCTTCTATCTGTAATGAACTGGTATAGATTTCCAACAAGGTACTGGAGGAAATGAAATGGAAGTGGTCTTCTTTAGTCAGTAGTATTTATCCTGGAGGGAGAATTTTCATTCCCTTTGTATTTGCAGGTATTATTTGATATGCATTATAGGTGGGAAAAGTATTAAACCTCCAAAATCACGTATGGTGTTTTGGATGTGTCTTCAGTTACTAATATTCAGCACAGGAGGTCAGACAGCACTCTGTGGAAAAATGTGCCTTCCTTGGATTACAGTGCTGTTCTTTAATGTCATAAAATTACACATTCTTCATAGATTATGGGTAAAATTAAGGGAGTGAGAAATTATCACTCAGCAGTATCTCTTCATCAACAAGTTGTCTTCTGAGCTTAAAAGGATGCTGCTGTGTCAGAACAGATAAAATCCTTTGCTCTTTTTCCTCTTTAATCTGAGTATGGCATTGGTATGGTGCATCCAGCTGTTTGAGCAGAGATGATTAGCCTCCTCCTGGGGCCAATTATACTGCCCAGCTGTCTGCTGCCATTGCAGAGCTGCTAAGGAGCACAGCCAGGAGCACACATGGCAGGATCCTGCTGCAATGAGTCCAGGTATCAGATGAGGGCTCCTGGCTTTTCCAAAAATGTGGATTACAGGATCTCAGAGAACTGGCTGTTCTGCTCTCATGGGGATTTCTGGTTGATGAGGCTCTCATTTGGTAACACTGCTCAGGCAGCCCATATGAGTGAGCCACAGATCAAATGTGGTGAGGTCAGCTTGTATTTCACTGGGCTGTGTGAATCAACCTCATTGTGGGTCAAGAGATGAGCATGAGAACTCTGCTAATTGGGATACTACCAAAATCCTGGGCATTGCTGGGGTCCTGGATATTATCAGTCTCTGCAGCTAACCTTGGGATCTTGAAGATTGGTGCTCTGAAGCTCTCCAAACACTCTGTGGTCCGACCTCCAGATTGAACATGATGATTACCCACACCACACCTCCTATGTCAGTCATAAAACAGACAAACAGTAAAGAAAGAGCAATTATAATAATTGGTGGAATCTCTGTATTTCTGATTAAAATTCTTCCTATTTGTACAATAAGTTAAAATACTGTAACATAGAAAATATGAAAAAATGATTACTAGATTCACCAAAGGTAAAAGAAAAAAAATATTGAGCTGTTTGGAGAGCCATCCCCAACCAAAAAATACATGGACAGGAAGCATGCAGGCTTAGTTGTCTGGAGAGAATCTCATAAGTGCATAAGGAGTGGTAGAAAAAACAGTGAGAGGCTGTGAACAAAGCTTTCCTTCTTGCTGCAGGCCATGAGTCATAAGTTTGCACAAAAATCAAAGTAGTTTTCTTTCTGTTGGCTGCAGATGGACATTCTTTAAATCAAACATCTATTCTTTCTTTCTTTTTTTTTTCTTTTTTTGAGTGCTGAGAGGGGGTGGAGAGTGGAGAAAAGGGCAAAGTAAATGATGCACTGAAAAATGTCTATTTAACTGGGAAGAAGTCCTTGAAAATTAGAAGGCAAATTTGAAAGCGGTTGATTTTAGGGAAATGATCTTTTAATCTCAGAAATATTTTCTGGCTAAATTTCATATTGTATCAGGATATGGTGAAGTGTGACTACAATACGAGCTTTCAAATAATACCTTGAATTACAGCCACAGCTGTAAAACTGCACACTAGCATATTTTGAAAATGGCATTAGACTTTAAGCCTATTTGTTACCATTAAAGAGCGAGCTGAAACATAACAGAAGACTGTTCCCAAATCTGTTTGCAGTGAATTGCTTCTACAGTTTCCACAGACTTGTCTGTTAGGAGGAAGATTTGGGTCAGATTTAGTTATTCTCATCTTCGTAATTAAGACAATGATTGGAAAAATCACTTTAAGATATTACGAATGATATACATGCTTACATTTGAAGCCCAAGGGACTGTTTTTCTATGTGCACAAGCCTTGCTGACCCAGATTTCCATCTTTTCAGTGCTTTCCCAATGCATAATAATAGCAAAAAGATATTCATGTCTGTTTCTGGCATGTTTGAAAATTGGGGGACTCTGGTTCATAGTGATCTAAACATAAAGGAATCTGTCAACTGGGTTTTTGCAGTAATTTCTTTTAATGCTGTGAGTAGAATATGAAATGCCCCACCAAGAATATGGAGATTGTATGTATCAGTGCCCATAAAATATGATGATTTTTCTCACTGAAGAAGTTTCAGTAAAAAAAATAAAATTAATTTTTCATGTAGAAACTGCACTAGAAGATTTTCAAGGCATCCTGTCACATTTTCTTTGCAATCATAAATTAAGAGTATGTATTCCATGAAATGTTAAAACAATCTCTTGACCAAAAGTAATTGATATGTAGTGTGGGGATGACTATTATTTGTTCAGAGCTCAAAGCTGTTATATATCTAGTAATGAGAGCAAGGTGATGTAAAAGAAAAGGCAAAGCAAACAAAAAAATAGATGAAGGCCAGTCTTCTGAAACTGACAGGAATATTGCACATCCAATACTTGAATTATGCATTAGGAATACTTGATCTGATGCATTTAGCCCACACTCCCATCTTTCATTTTTGAATCAATTGCAAAACAGTCTTAGATTTAGCATTATTCATCGATAACATAAAAACACAGTACAAAAGTTATGCTACAAGCTCCTAACTTCTGTATGTTTTCACTCCTAGTAACTCCACTACCAGCATACCCAGCCAGAATGAAAAAGAGTATGTTTTCTTATTGTGCTAAACATCCAAGTGATTACATTCACTAAGGTTTATCTCACATACAACCACTGTCCTGTGGAACATGACTGAGAAAGAGCTTTCACATAAAACTCTTCTCTGTGTTTTTGTCAGACTGCCTGTGAACTGTGCTAGACAACTACGTGACTTTCTGTGGCCTATTTCCCCTACTGTTTCATTACTTATATAAAATTGTGACAACAGAAAAGTACTCCCAGCTGTTACAAAAGTGCTCCCCATAGCTTGAAAATGGAATCTGTTGCATGAAAATGTCCCTCTACCAAGTTCTGGTCCAGAAGAAGTACTGAATCATGCCAGTGACACAGATGGGGCTGGACAAATTCAGAACGTGAATGGATGGTGCTTTGTAACTTATAATCGCTTAATGCCAGCATCACATGAATAGGCACACAGATCAGAATAGAATTATCACATCCCACATTTGTGAGGTCTGACTCCACACTTTCATAAACACAGCATAAAATAAGACTTATTGAAATTTTCACATGGAGTTCCCAAATACTTTCCTGGAATTTGACTGTCATATTACTGTTTCACATTTCTCTTAAGGCTCTTTGCTGTATATTGGATGAGTACCAGGTAGATAATGCTTCTCTGGCAATGTCACATTTCAAAAGAAAAAGAATCAAACTAAGTGACTTAAGTGTTCAACCTCACCATATTTTTCTGTACAGTTTCTGAGTCAACCAAATATCATGGCAGAATCCGTCATATAGCAGTTGTACTTTTTCTGGCTTAAAACAGAAACCAGAAGCTCTCCCAGCTGCTCGTAGGGAATAGGACGTTTCCATAGCTCATTGTCATCGTCCTTGCTGACAGTGCTGCCTTAGTCTATCTGGACCTGAGCAGGCAAGGATCCAGATGTACCCTTTAAGTCCCAAAGAAGGCAGCGCAATATAAATGTGTGCCTGAAATTTTATGGGGATTTATGTGCTCTGCTGAGCTAATTTTGCAGTAAAATGGAGTCCCTATCCCTCTTGTGCTTTTGTTGTACTCAGTAGGATTCCAGATAAGGGTGTATTGAATATGTTTTAAAATCACCATGATATTATTGAGAGAAAATTATAAGACAGAGTAATAATCATAATAAAAATCTAGTTTTTCCTTAAGCTAGCTCCATTAAAATTCAATGGAGCTGCACAGATCTCATTTGGGACTATTATTTTCTATTAAGTTTTGATGTAGATCTAGGATTTCATACAAATACTTAAAAATTGAAGAGAAGACAATTACTACATGCCAATTCTGTGTTCTAGAAACACTTGGGTCAATTACTCTGATTTGAGTTTGCAACTAAGCACAGTAAAAGCAAAAGAACTACATTAAAATTAATGTCACACAAAATTGTATGTACGTACAAAAGACCTTGTAGTTCATTTACTTTGTAGAGGTAACCAGCAGCCATCAGATTTACTACAAACCCAAAATGTGGGTACACTGTGGTGGACCAAACTGATAGCACAGGACTTATAGAGGACATGTGGTCTCTTCTCCCAAGTAAAAGTGGAAAAATGAAAAGAAACAGCCTCAAATTGCACAGGGGGAAGTTTAGATGGATGTCAGAAAATATTCCTTCTCTGGAAGGGTGATCAGGCATTGGAACAGGCTGCATAGGGAAGCGATGGAATCACCATCCTTGGAAGCATTCAAAACATGTGGATGTGGCACTAGGTGATATAGTTTAGCAGTGAAGACAGTGGTGCTGGGTTAATGTTTTGACTCAGTGATCTAAGAGGTCTTTGGCAACCTTAATTATTCTATGTGTGTTGAATGACATTAAAGGGTCGATGCCAGAAGAAATTGCCTTAGTACACATACATTTTTGTATATTATGCATGTATTTGTTTACAATTTATGCATATACATTTACCTATATATAAACATGCAAATATTTAGCGATGCATATTTTGTGTTCTTTGTCTTCAAGGATTTTACACCCTTCTGAATTACTCCAATGAGTTCACAAGCTATGAAAGGAGAAGCGGGACAAAAAGAAAAAGATTTATTTCAATGCCCTCTGATTTCTGTGCAGTTTCTTTTCCTTGTGAGTACAGTCATCAGAAGAAAATTCTGCCTGAATTCATGATACTCATTGACGCTGACTGCAGCAAAAGCAGCTCTTCCGTGACTGCCAGTCAGACAAAGTACAGGATGAGCTTCCTGCTTGTACCTACATGTGATCTGAAGAGAGGGTAAAAGGTTTTCTATCAAATTCTCCAGTTAATTAAAACAAGGGCAGAGAGGAAAAGGTGTAACTAGTAGAGTAGCTGCACTCCCTTATGCTTCCAGCAAGCCCAGCTGCTTGTAGAGTCATGCATAAAGTCTAAACCAATTTTTCATTAACAAAATTTTCCATTCCGGCTCCACTGATGCAGAGGTTTCCGCTTTCAGACCCCTTGCTGTGTTGCAGAGCTCGTTATCAGTTATTATTCATCTGTCCTCAATTCAGTGATCAGATCTGTCTGCTGCTGCTTTAGGAGTCAGAAAATCTAGCCAAACTTACTGAGAGAAAAATATAAAGCAGGAAAACATAACCATTGCATGAAGTGCTTTTGCTGTGGGCTGCCAATCTCACCCTGGCATCATGTAGATAAGAAATAATTTTTAATCAACAAAGACAGGGCCACTGCAGACGAAGCCTGAGACAAAGAGAACAAAAAGTCGTGCTGTTCTCCTCTTCAGCAGAGCTGATCCTGAACGCTTCTCAGGGATACCGGTGACTGCAATGTACCATCTCATCAGAATTCCCACTAACGTCCTTCATCTCTTTTCCTCACCGAGTGTGAGTAGCTAAGAAGGTGCAAATAGGAATATTAAGCTCTCTTCCTGAGGGACAGTTCCAGAGGCGAACTGTCCCAACATCCACTACTTTCCTGGTGTGGAAAAGCTAGTGGCTCCTGATTACACTGAGAAAGAAGGAAAAACCAGACATGGGTCAGTCTTGCATCTATATATGTACTGCTTCCAGCTGAGTGTAGTTTGTAGTGAATAAGAAAGCTCATTCCTCATGCAGATAATTTCTATGCAGCTTTGTAAGGCTTGAACAAGCCTGAGTCTCCATGTCTATTGCTTCTGCTACAAGGATTACCTTTTGTAAAAGTCAAAAGTCCTGAGGTGCAAATGGTGACAGAGTTGTGACATACAGCCACTTTTGGGAGGATGATTCCAAGACTTCTGCCTGGCCTTGAGAACAGGGCTGTCTCTGTTCCCCTTTGTCTCCCTGGCCAGCTGTGCAAAACATGCCATGTGAAACAGCATGGCTTCCAAAAGAGACAGCTGGAACACTGGATGATAATTTAAAATAAGAGCCATCTGCAGGTGATAAGGTCTTCTTGATAGAGCGGCTGATCTGGCAGTGCCTATGCAAAATGGAAATGTGTCCTGCATGAACTACCTCTACCTGTATGCTTTGTGGCCCAGAAGTAAAATATGAGTTTCAATTTATGTCTGGCTGAAAAAGAGAGAGAGATAGGTAAAAGTATTCTCATGTAACTAGAAGATTAGACTAATGAAATGCGATATATGAAATGCAATGCAATATTTCATGTTCCATCCCAGGCTCAGGGAGGCCTGGCCTCATCCAGGCCAGCCTCCCAGAGACTGGCCTGGGCCAGCCAAGGTGGGGGCATTCTGGAATGTGGGTGGACAGGACCAGCACAAGTGCTCCTGGGATGGAGTCTTCATCACTCACCTCAGCCCCAGGGCACTGGGCCTGTTTTTGACCTCACACTTGAGCAGTGCCTGGCAGTACAAGGTAAACAACCTTGGGGAAAGGCCAGCAGGAAGGCTTGGGACTACTCATGCCTTTCCTTCAGAGCCACTGAGGTCCTCTTCAGGCAGTTGCCAAGAGCAGAGATTTGTACTAAATATCAAAAATAAAATTAATCAGGTGTAACCATACACTAGTGTAGTCTGGGGCTGACCAGCTCTGTGAAGAAGGACCTGGTGGACAATAAGCCATCCATGAGCCAGCAGTGTGTCCTGTGGCCAAGGAGACCACTGGTATCCTGGGGTGCATTAGGAAGAGCAGTGCCAGCAGGTCAAGGTGATCCTGCCCCTCTGCTCAGCCCTGGTGAGGCACATCTGGAGTGCTGTGTCCAGTTCTGTCCTCCCAAGGATCTGGAGCTGCTGGAGCCAGTCTAGAAGAGGACAACAAAGATGATTAAGGGACTGGAACATCTCTCTTAGCAGGGAAGGCTGAGGGAGCTGGGCCTGGTCAGCCTTGAGAAGACACAACTGAGAAGGAACTTTATCAATGTCTATCAGTATTTGAAGGGGAGGTGCAAGAGGATGGAGCCAGGCTCTGCGCCATCTGAGCAACAGGACAGGAGGCAATGGGCAGAAATTGATGCACAAAAAGTTCCATCTGAATATGAACAAAAACTTGTTTACTGCGTGGGCAACCGCACACTGGCACAGGCTGCCTGGAGAGGTTGTGGAATCTCCCCCACTTGGGATACTGAAGAGCTGTCTGGACACAATCCTGTGCCAATGTGCTCTAGGATAACCCTTCCTGAGCAGGGAGGTTGAGCCAGGTGACTCACCATGGTCCCTTCCAACCTGATCCATTCTAGGATTCTGTAAAAATTAATTCTGAGCAAGTGATGGACATAATAAGTGTGCATTTTGCAATTTTTTTTTTTTTTTTGGCTTACCAGAGGCTACCCAAACCTGACAAGGACACCTATTTGAGGACATTGATAAGTTTTGGTATGTCAGACACACACCAGTGATCTGTGTTGGCTCACAAATCACAATTAATCTATCTTACAATTCAATTGTTGGACTATAACTTAGAAACTTAAATCCTTATTATTTCCACATCTTGACAAACTGGTAATTTCTGGAATTCTTAGATGGAAAAGGTAATTGTAATTAGCAAAGCCGGGATATGTTCAAAGAAGGACAGCAGGAATGACTGAGGAGATGGCATGGCTGCATTAATGGCTAGCAACTGAACCTGAAAATAGTGAGCATAAGCCTCCAAAGCAACCCCTCATCATATATGTACCCATGTCTAAATTCTACAGAAAGCCTGAGTGCTTGGCTCAGCACCCTTCATTTTGAACGTATAAAGAAACTTCCAACAGAGTTCAGATGCACAGCCTGAAGTGCCTTGTCATGAGGAGCTGAGCAGAAAAACCAAGGCAAAGGCTCCTGTATGTGGGAGGTAGATATGAAAGTAAATCTCTGCTGTTTTCAGCCAAGGGAGAGCTGGGTACCTGCCACTTTGCAAACTCACAGATTTCTGAGATTATCCTCTGATGAGCAGACGTGTTCTTTAAATAGCATGCTGCAAATTAACAGTTCTCAGAAACTCCTCTGACAAAGTTTCTTCCTTAACCCTTAAGGAGCTGACTTAACGGAGTGATAGAAAAGGCAGGGCCTGATACAATGATTACCAGTAGGGATAATAACCTCATGTGGCAAGGTAAGAGTGGGAGATACCATGCTTGCCGTGTGGGAGGCAGTGGAGAGATTAGAATTTTAGCTCAGAAGCATCTGATTAGAACTATTTTCTCCTTTTCAAGGCAACTTTCAAGGTGTTTTACATTCTGTTTGCTGTTCCAAATGATGATAAACACAAAATATATTTGTGAAATAAAAATCAGGGCTGACTCTTTGTTGTTCCTCCTCTTTGTCACAATGAATTCATTGAAATGTTAAAGCGAAAAAGAGGACTTAGGTATACAGTTCACAGAATCTTGCATAAGTTGACAAGTTTGTTTTCACTACCTCTTTTGAAATTTTAAATTTTTCAGAATGGGCTTTTTCTGGCAAACATGAACTAGTGTTTCCTTATGAAAAAATGTTTCATTGAAAGCTCACTGATACAGTGATACAATGGAGAGGAGGCTAAAACTGCCAAATCTGATTTATTAAAATGGAAACATTTTGTATTTTTGCAAACCAAAGCACACTTGTTTCTTCCAGAGAAAAAAACAAGACCTCTACAACTAAATCAAGTGTAATTCCATGTATTTCAATGAAGCAATGTGAATAATGCTGGCAGCAAATCTTGTCCCATGTTTCTAAAGCAGAATTTCCTTTCACAAATAGTTTGAAGCCTGGCTCTGTTAATATGCCATTCATGTCTCCTTACACTTTTTCTGCACCAATCACTATTAAAAACTGTTGTCTTGAACCATAATAATCATGTGCTTCATCCCAACATTGCTGCTGATTCTTCTCACTCTGTTGTATAATATTACCGCTTTCTTTAAACAAAACACCATTTAACCTTTTACAAAAATTCCTTGGGTGCTTACTCTGTCTGAAGAAGTTCCCTGCACCACCTTTTGCAGTGTTGCCACAATATTTTCCTTTACAGTTAAGTTACTTTTAAGTTAAGGATTGCTCTTTTATTGTTTTCACTTCTTCCCATTTTACTTGTTCACTTGAGTGACTGTAGGTGAGACTGCCTTTGTTAATTTTTTCTCTGTGATCATCTCATGGACAACTTTCCAATGTCAATGTCTCACAGACTGCCACTAGTCCATAATGTACAAGACAAGAGTCACTGTTGTACAATGCTGAAACGCAATTATTCTTATTCCCTGTGGAATTTATTTTCTGTATTCTCTCTTTCATCAGATTTTTCTTCATAACAGTAAAGCACGTAAGTCCAAGGTGTTTTACCAGTGCTGTTCCACTGAGTTTTGGAGGATTTTACTGGCACAAGTGGCAGTGGAATGCTGTCCCTAATTAAAAGAGATATGTAAGTATTCTTATGTAAAGGAAAGCAGATGAAAAGCTGCTGTCAAATAAGGTGTGTTGTTGAAAGTCTGAGCTGTGGCAATAAAATTTGTTCTTCCAAAGCTGTTCCCTTAATTGTTTCCCATGTTCAAAAACATATGATATCAGCTGAAAAATAATATAAAAATAACAATTATCGTAAGAAGAAAATACTTTGACAAAGGAATACCTTCTTGTAGCATGGCCATAGCATATTGCTAAGAATAACAGAACGGGACTTTATGAAAGATTTCTTTGGCAACTGGATTGTCATAACCTCTGAGGACGTCTTGAGTCTGTAGGCTTCAGGATGCTTTTGAGAAATGTAATTCAGGGCTGTAGGCTGTGAAGGTGAAATGGAGCAGAAGTTAGAAGAGTCTTTTGCCCAGTTGCATTTCAGTCCAGGTACCAAAGAGTACTCTAACTCTGTTACCCTGCTCCATAGAAAACTGGTCCCTAAAAAGGAAAATAGGAAGTGAGGATTTCTGAGAAGCCTTCAAATCTTTTGTTATGGTACTTAGTAGGGTGCTGGTGGAATCTAGAGCCTTTGTTTCTCTGGATATGTGATGGACATGGATATAGATATGAATCTTGCTCCATTCTTCATAACACTGTTGGATTTCAACTCAACTTTTGGTCTCTTTTGTGCTAGCTTTGGTGACCAGTATCTCTTGCTATGACAATCACTATCTGCTGGCATTTTTCCATCACATTCCTTAATAGGAAGCTTTCTTTATGCTATTTTCTCTGCCTTTTAAATATAAGAGGAAATTCAGTTTGCAATAGGTGTACACTGGGGAGCTCTAAGACAGTCACAGTTAGCATCTGAAATAAAAAGAATCTGAAGGAGAAAACCAGGCAAAAAATGGAAAACAAGAATTCTAAACTTACTGTATTTAGCATCAGTTGTACTGCAGCTGCAAATATCCTCAAGTGTAAACTAGAAATCTTGGGACATTGACTTACAAATGCATAATTCATACCCATTCTTGTAAATGGGACTCACTGTAATATTTGCATATTAATATTCACAAATCTCATCCCAGCTCCAGTCTATTGAAAATGGCTAGCTCTCTAGAAGAAAAACTAGATGATATTTCTATGTAAATATTTATTCCAAGATGTATATCCTTTATATAGAAACAATCAGAAAAAGACAGCATTTAGTGAATTCACTAACAACAAAACCAGCAGAAGCAAAGGGTTTGTCTTTTCCAGTGAAATCAGAGTCCCAAGGTCAGGACCTTTATTTGGTATGCCTATCCAATACACAGTGTTAGTGGTTGTTAACAGCAAAGTGTACATTGATATCATCCTGTTCTTACTCAAAAAACCCTACTCATTCAACACAACATAAGGAAAATATCCTTCAGTTCAATGGTGCTGAGGTATACCTTTGCCAAAAACTATATTAAATATGCATCATCAGGGTTTCAAAGACCCACTAAACTGCATAATCCTACAATGCCT